GAGTGCCTGGAGTGGTTGCTGGTACCAGTGACAAGTTGAAGATAATATGCATCCATTCTGAGAATACTGAAGCTGCCTCTCATGGCTGGACAGACAGTATCACCCTGACTGCCTCTCATGGCTGGACAGACAGTATCACCCTGACTGCCTCTCATGGCTGGACAGACAGTATCACCCTGACTGCCTCTCATGGCTGGACAGACAGTATCACCCTGACTGCCTCTCATGGCTGGACAGACAGTATCACCCTGACTGCCTCTCATGGCTGGACAGACAGGAATACTCATACTACCTCTCATGGCTGGACAGACAGGAATACTCATACTACCTGTCATGGCTGGACAGACAGGAACACTCTGACTGCCTCTCTCGTATGGTTGATAGCTTGCATGTGACATATACAGATGATACACTGATATCAGCTCGCTTGCTGACATCAGTGTATCATCTGTACACTTGCTGAATGCCACGGACACCGTCATATTAGTACTATAAGATGAATGTTTCCATGCTGCCTGTGGTCAGGGAGGTCTGTGATCACTTAGCTGCTGCCTGCTGCAGGTTACCCTAGGATTTGTAGCCTATAATATTTAATTATATCAAAGGTAATACTGGAGGTTCTGCGTGTTACAGCTATGCTGTGTGTTCTTGATGGTGAGTGGTGGGTAATGTTACTGAGTTATGTACGAGACTGTAATAACACTGGCGGGTTATTGCCACAGCTGAGTCTGACCCCTGCCAGCCGTCACCGTGTGGGGCCAGTGCCTCATGCCGCCTCAAAGCCGGCCGTCCTGTCTGCTCCTGTCTGCCAGGTCTGCTGGGAGACCCGACAACTCTGTGCCACCCTGAGTGTATCAGTAGCCACCAGTGTCCACTGGGCAAGGCATGTGTGAGGCATGAGTGTGTTGATCCCTGTGTGGAAGACGTGTGTGGCCGTAATGCCCAGTGTAGGGTAATGATACACGTCCCCGTGTGTTCCTGCAACCAGGGCTACACTGGAGACCCCTACTTCCACTGCAGACCTCTCCTACGTAAGTACTTTAGAGACCACTCAAACGTAAGCAGAGACCCCAATTTCCACTGCAGACTTCTTCATCCACTACAGATCTCTCCCACGTAAGTACTCCATATACATCTACTTCCACTGCAGACCTTACCAATGTAAGTACTTCAGGAACTCCTGTTTCCACTGCAGACTCCTTCCTCCACTGCAGATTTTATCTACGTAAGTACTTTTAAAGTCTGTCATCACTGCAGACCCCCCTCCTTTCACTGCATACCTCTCCTCCACTGCAGACTTCTCTCACATGAAGTCTGCAAGGGCGTAAGCCTGTTTACTTTCCTAATTTACCTGCACTTTTTCTTTCTTAATTTAATGTATAGTTTGGCATGTACTTTTTTGTACAGTGTCTGTGCATATAGCATAGCTAAGATAGCTTATAAGTTTGCAAAGTTATAAGCAGATGAGCAATTGTGTGGTGAGTTGTAATGATATTATGAGGCGTTGCTGTGGTAACTGGTACACTCGTCTTTACAGCGTTGCTGCCACCTGAACCACCTCGCAGTCCATGTGCTGGAGATCCCTGTGGACCAAATGCAATATGTCGAGAGGTCAGCTTGCAACACCAGTGTTCATGCCAGCCTGGGTATATGGGCACCCCACCTGCATGCCGTCCAGAGTGTGTGGTGCATGCTGAGTGCTCCACGCTGATGGCTTGTGTCAACAACCGCTGTGTTGATCCCTGCAAGGGCACCTGTGGCATCCAGTCCCAGTGTCGCGTTATCAATCACAACCCAGTGTGTAGCTGTATAGTGGGCTATACTGGTGATCCCTTCACCCGCTGCACTCTTGCACCCGTCACCATACCCTTCCCACCAGCCCCACCGACCACACTACCACCCTTGCCTGGCACACGGCCACCACATGAGGAGACACCCATCGTTCCGGTGAATGGTGAGCCAGGCACAACCCCCACACCTGTGGTGGTCATGCCTCAACCACCTGCCCGCCCCTTCGATCCCTGCTCTCCAGATCCCTGCGGCTCCAACACCATCTGCCGCATCTCTGTCAATACCTACACCTGTGAGTGTCGCCCAGGTTACTTTGGTAACCCTGATGTGGGTTGTGGTCCCGAGTGTGTGCTCAGCAGTGACTGTAAAGGCGGCTACACCTGTGTGCGCAACAAGTGCATAAACCCCTGCCCATCAGCCTGTGCCTCCACTGCTCTCTGCACAGTTGTCAATCATCGCGCTATCTGCAACTGTCCACCAGATAGTCAGGGTGACCCATATATTTTCTGTGCTCCTCATCCAATTGCTGCCAGCACTCCATGTAAGACATCACTTGCATTCTCTACCTGATATCTCCCTTCATTATGTATATATTACCAGACATCATGTCTGGAATGAGTCAAGTCAAGTCAATGAGTTGTATTTTGCTCTTCTTATGAGTCTCCATGTGATGTGATGTCTTGTTCACACATTTGTTGATTGTGTATTGCAGCTCCGCCACCGGTGGTTCCTGGGGTACAAGTGCCATGTGAGCCTAACCCGTGTGGCCAGAATGCAGAGTGCCTGCCCATCAGCCCAAGTGGCGAGTGTCGCTGTCTCCCAGATTACTATGGCAACCCATATGATAGTTGCCAACCAGAGTGCACTGCTGACCAAAACTGTCCTTTCTATTTGGCCTGCATCAACCAGAAGTGCCTGGACCCATGTCCTGGCACATGTGGCATCAGTGCTGAGTGCCAGGTCGTGAACCATGCTCCTGTATGCTACTGCAAGGCTGGTCACACTGGTGACCCCTACCAGGCTTGTCGTGTAGAGGCCAGTAAGTATCTTTCTCGCCGTATATCACACAGGGTCTGTAATACTCAGGTGTATCAGTTAAGTCACATCAGAAACTTTCACAAATTTGTATCAGCTCACATAGACTAATAAATACTTTTAAGTATTGCACATATTTGTTATTTATATTTTTGAGCTCTCATTGACCCAACTGTTTAATTTGTAATTGCTATACTACAAAGCCTGTATTTGTGCCATAATATGGAATGCTGAGTTTGTGATGGTAAGCTGCTGTGTGCTCAGCATCATGGTTGTTCTCACTGCTTTGATATCATTAGCATAAGATGAGTTAGCATTATGAACTGGTTCTTCAAGGATATCATTTATTTCTTGTCTATATGGTTAAATTTGAGGGACTAAAGATTAACTTATGAACGTTGCAGTATCTGTCCAGCCCCCTGTGAACCTCTGCAGCCCCAGTCCTTGTGGACCCAACTCCAAGTGCCATGTCTCCCACAATCGCCCAATCTGTGAGTGCCTTCCTGCCTACTTTGGCAAGCCTCCTAACTGTCAACCTGAATGCATAGTCAACTCTGACTGTGAGACGGTACTGGCTTGCGTTAACCAAATGTGCCGCGACCCTTGTGTGGGCACGTGTGGCACTGATGCACTGTGTGAGGTGATCAACCACAACCCCATCTGTTACTGCCCCAGTCATCTCACAGGCGACCCCTTCATACGCTGCTTCGAGCCGCCTACTAGTAAGTAGTCTCTCTTTGTCCCATTTACACCTGCTTAATCCAGTCCTCAGGTAAGAGTTTTCACACTTTTCACCATTACTAATGGTAACTGTTGTACAATTTACAGCAGTGAGCCCTCCCCAGAAGGAAGAAGAAGAGAACCCATGTGATCGAGAACCTTGTGGTCACGGAGCTGACTGTAGTGACCAGACGGGTGTAGCTGTCTGCACCTGTAAACCTGGCCTCTTCGGTAACCCTTATCACCTTTGTCGACACGAGTGCGTGGTTAATTCAGACTGTAGCCGTGATAAGGCATGTTCTCGCAACAAGTGCGTGGACCCATGCCCAGGTGCATGTGGGGTGCATGCCGAGTGCGTTGTTAAGCACCACAGTCCCACATGTACCTGCCCACCACACCTCACTGGTGATCCCTTCTCTCGCTGTGTTCTTCTCGCCACCAGTAAGACATCACTAACTTAACCAGTACTTATCCCTGTGGTCCTCTAAATGCAAAAGTCATCTAAATTAATGTTACACTACCTCATTAATCTTGAATAATATCTCATTTTTGCTATAACATTTCTAGAGGCTGCATTCTTATTAATGTTTTTAACATTAGCACATAACATTAGTGTGTCTTCCTACCACATATTACTGTGCTTTCATCTTTGCGACAATGTCCCTTATAAATCGTGTTACTATACCGACAGCGTATTTAGTAGTTGTGTAGCTTTTGTGTGTGTGTTGTATTGCTGAGTTGTATGATGTATGACCTCCTCAGCTCCAGTGACCCCGGATGACCCCTGCTCCTCATCCCCTTGTGGTTTCAACGCCCTTTGCGAGAGGGAGGCCAACTCCTTCAGGTGCAAGTGTGTCAGTAACTACTTCGGTGACCCCTACACAGAGTGTCGCCCAGAGTGTGTTGTCAACACAGACTGTGCCACTGACCAGGCTTGTCGCAACCTCAAGTGTGTCGACCCCTGTCCTGGTACCTGCGGCACTAATGCCCAATGTAACACCATCAACCACAACTCCATCTGTGCCTGTTTACCCGGCCACCAAGGCAACCCATACGAAATATGCCATACCATAAAAGATGAGAGTGAGTGACTTGTCTGTCAGACCATTGTTGTCTATGTTAATATAGTGACACCACATTTGTTACTCTCCCTCACCTCACTATACTCTCCCACACTACACTCCTACACCTCACTATACTCTCCCACACTACACTCCTACACCTCACTATACTCTCCCACACTACACTCCTACACCTCACTATACTCTCCCACACTACACTCCTACACCACACTATACTCTCCCACACTACACTCCTACACCACACTATACTCTCCCACACTACACTCCTACACCACACTATACTCTCCCACACTACACTCCCACACCTCACTATACTCTCCCACACTACACTCCTACACCTCAATATACTCTCCCACACTACACTCCTACACCACACTATACTCTCCCCACACTACACTCACACCACACTATACTCTCCCACATCACACTACACTCTCCCACACCACACTACTCTCTCCCACACTACACTCTCCCACACTACACTCTCCCACACTACACTATACTCTCCCGCACTACCTGGAGTTTACCTGGAGAGAGTTTCGGGGGTCAACGCCCCCGCGGCCCGGTCTGTGACCAGGCCTCCTGGTGGATCAGCGCCTGATCAACCAGGCTGTTGCTGCTGGCTGCACGCAAACCAACGTACGAGCCACAGCCCGGCTGATCAGGAACTGCCTTTAGGTGCTTGTCCAGTGCCAGCTTGAAGACTGCCAGGGGTCTGTTGGTAATCCCCCTTATGTGTGCTGGAGGCAGTTGAACAGTCTCGGTCCCCTGACACTTATTGTATGGTCTCTTAACGTGCTAGTGACACCCCTGCTTTTCATTGGGGGGATGGTGCATCGTCTGCCAAGTCTTTTGCTTTCGTAGTGAGTGATTTTCGTGTGCAAGTTCGGTACTAGTCCCTCTAGGATTTTTCCAGGTGTATATAATCATGTATCTCTCCCTCCTGCGTTCCAGGGAATACAGGTTTAGAAACCTCAAGCGCTCCCAGTAATTGAGGTGTTTTATCTCCGTTATGCGCGCCGTGAAAGTTTTTCTGTACATTTTCTAGGTCGGCAATTTCACCTGCCTTGAAAGGTGCTGTTAGAGTGCAGCAATATTCCAGCCTAGATAGAACAAGTGACCTGAAGAGTGTCATCATGGGCTTGGCCTCCCTAGTTTTGAAGGTTCTCATTATCCATCCTGTCATTTTTCTAGCAGATGCGATTGATACAATGTTATGGTCCTTGAAGGTGAGATCCTCCGACATAATCACTCCCAGGTCTTTGACGTTGGTGTTTCGCTCTATTTTGTGGCCAGAATTTGTTTTGTACTCTGATGAAGATTTAATTTCCTCATGTTTACCATATCTGAGTAATTGAAATTTCTCATCGTTGAACTTCATATTGTTTTCTGCAGCCCACTGAAAGATTTGGTTGATGTCCGCCTGGAGCCTTGCAGTGTCTGCAATGGAAGACACTGTCATGCAGATTCGGGTGTCATCTGCAAAGGAAGACACGGTGCTGTGGCTGACATCCTTGTCTATGTCGGATATGAGGATGAGGAACAAGATGGGGGCTAGTACTGTGCCTTGTGGAACAGAGCTTTTCACCGTAGCTGCCTCGGACTTTACTCTGTTGACGACTACTCTCTGTGTTCTGTTAGTGAGGAAATTATAGATCCATCGACCAACTTTTCCTGTTATTCCTTTAGCGCGCATTTTGTGCGCTATTACGCCATGGTCACACTTGTCGAAGGCTTTTGCAAAGTCTGTATATATTACATCTGCATTCTTTTTGTCTTCTAGTGCATTTAGGACCTTGTCGTAGTGATCCAGTAGTTGAGACAGACAGGAGCGACCTGTTCTAAACCCATGTTGCCCTGGGTTGTGTAAACTGATGGGTTTTCTAGATGGGTGGTGATCTTGCTTCTTAGGACCCTTTCAAAGATTTTTATGATATGGGATGTTAGTGCTATTGGTCTGTAGTTCTTTGCTGTTGCTTTACTGCCCCCTTTGTGGAGTGGGGCTATGTCTGTTGTTTTTAGTAACTGTGGGACGACCCCCGTGTCCATGCTCCCTCTCCATAGGATGGAAAAGGCTCGTGATAGGGGCTTCTTGCAGTTCTTGATGAACACAGAGTTCCATGAGTCTGGCCCTGGGGCAGAGTGCATGGGCATGTCATTTATCGCCTGTTCGAAGTCATTTGGCGTCAGGATAACATCGGATAGGCTTTATTATTTTTTTTTTTTTTTTTTATCACACCGGCCGATTCCCACCAAGGCAGGGTGGCCCGAAAAAGAAAAACTTTCACCATCATTCACTCCATCACTGTCTTGCCAGAAGGGTGCTTTACACTACAGTTTTTAAACTGCAACATTAACACCCCTCCTTCAGAGTGCAGGCACTGTACTTCCCATCTCCAGGACTCAAGTCCGGCCTGCCGGTTTCCCTGAATCCCTTCATAAATGTTACTTTGCTCACACTCCAACAGCACGTCAAGTATTAAAAACCATTTGTCTCCATTCACTCCTATCAAACACGCTCACGCATGCCTGCTGGAAGTCCAAGCCCCTCGCACACAAAAACCTCCTTTACCCCCTCCCTCCAACCCTTCCTAGGCCGACCCCTACCCCGCCTTCCTTCCACTACAGACTGATACACTCTTGAAGTCATTCTGTTTCGCTCCATTCTCTCTACATGTCCGAACCACCTCAACAACCCTTCCTCAGCCCTCTGGACAACAGTTTTGGTAATCCCGCACCTCCTCCTAACTTCCAAACTACGAATTCTCTGCATTATATTCACACCACACATTGCCCTCAGACATGACATCTCCACTGCCTCCAGCCTTCTCCTCGCTGCAACATTCATCACCCACGCTTCACACCCATATAAGAGCGTTGGTAAAACTATACTCTCATACATTCCCCTCTTTGCCTCCAAGGACAAAGTTCTTTGTCTCCACAGACTCCTAAGTGCACCACTCACTCTTTTTCCCTCATCAATTCTATGATTCACCTCATCTTTCATAGACCCATCCGCTGACACGTCCACTCCCAAATATCTGAATACGTTCACCTCCTCCATACTCTCTCCCTCCAATCTGATATTCATCTTTCATCACCTAATCTTTTTGTTATCCTCATAACCTTACTCTTTCCTGTATTCACCTTTAATTTTCTTCTTTTGCACACCCTACCAAATTCATCCACCAATCTCTGCAACTTCTCTTCAGAATCTCCCAAGAGCACAGTGTCCCTCGGCAAAGAGCAGCTGTGACAAACTCCCACTTTGTGTGTGATTCTTTATCTTTTAACTCCACGCCTCTTTCCAAGACCCTCGCATTTACTTCTCTTACAACCCCATCTATAAATATATTAAACAACCACGGTGACATCACACATCCTTGTCTAAGGCCTGGATGTGTGATGTCACCGTGGTTGTTTAATATATTTATAGATGGGGTTGTAAGAGAAGTAAATGCGAGGGTCTTGGCAAGAGGCGTGGAGTTAAAAGATAAAGAATCACACACAAAGTGGGAGTTGTCACAGCTGCTCTTTGCCGATGACACTGTGCTCTTGGGAGATTCTGAAGAGAAGTTGCAGAGATTGGTGGATGAATTTGGTAGGGTGTGCAAAAGAAGAAAATTAAAGGTGAATACAGGAAAGAGTAAGGTTATGAGGTAACAAAAAGATTAGGTGATGAAAGATTGAATATCAGATTGGAGGGAGAGAGTATGGAGGAGGTGAACGTATTCAGATATTTGGGAGTGGACGTGTCAGCGGATGGGTCTATGAAAGATGAGGTAGGGTAGGCTTGTGTTAATCAAATTTTGTGGCTCTCTCATAAAAAATTCATTTTGATCTTCGACTCTCAGTCTGGTTAGCGGCTTGCTAAAAACTGAGTCATATTGGGACTTGAGTAGCTCACTCATTTCCTTGCTGTCATCTGTTTTAGGACCCATCTTGTTTAAGTAGGGGCCCAATACTGGACGTTGTTCTCGATTTTGATTTGGCATAGGAGAAGAAATACTTTGGGTTTCTTTCGATTTCATTTATGGCTTTTAGTTCTTCCCGCGATTCCTGACTCCTAAAGGATTCTTTTAGCTTAAGTTCGATGCTTGCTATTTCTCTGACCAGTGTCTCCCTGCGCATTTCTGATATATTGACCTCTTTTAGCCGCTCTGTTATTCTTTTCCGTCGCCTGTAAAGGGACGCCTGTCTCTTTCTATTTTACATCTACTCCTCCTTTTTCTTAGAGGAATAAGCCTTTTGCATACATCGAGTGCCACCGAGTTAATCTGTTCTAGGCATAAGTTTGGGTCTGTTTTTGCTTAGTATATCTTCCCAGCTTATATCGGTTTTGGACTTGGTTTACTTGGTCCCACTTTATGTTTTTTTTTTTTGAAGTTGAATTTGGTGAATGCTCCCTCGTGACTAGTCTCATTTTGTCGGTCTGAGGCTCCACGCATACATGTCTGAACCTCAATTATGTTGTGATCTGAGTATATTGTTTTTGATATGGTGACATTTCTTATCAGATCATCATTGTTAGTGAAGATGAGGTCTAGTGTATTCTCCAGTCTAGTAGGCTCTATTATTTGCTGGTTTAAATTGAATTTTGTGCAGAGATTTAAAAGCTCGTGTGAGTGTGAGTTTTCATCAGAGCTGCCTCCTGGTGTTATTACTGCAACAATATTATTTGCTATATTCCTCCATTTTTGGTGCCTTAAGTTTGAAATCCCCCAGGAGCAAGATGTTGGGTGCAGGAGCTGGAAAATTTTCCAGACAGTGGTCAATTTTTAACAGCTTTCCTGGAATTGCTGGGATGTTGCATCCGAGGCTTGTAGACTACCACAATGACTAGGTTTTGGTTCTCGACCTTTACTGCTAAAACTTCCACTACGTCATTTGAGGCATTAAGCAGTTCTGTGCAAACAAGTGACTCTGCAATGTACAGGCCAACCCCCCCCTTTTTCCTGTTCACTCTGTCACATCTGTAAAAGGTTTAACCTGGGGTCCTATTTCGTTTCCAAATATCCCTTTTTGTGGGTCTCAGTGAAAGCCGCAACATTGCCTTTTCCTCTTTTCAACATCCACGGGTAAAGGGATTTGGGGGGTTTTTTGCTGGGCTTTTAAACCCCGTATATTTTCAAAGAAGAATTTATCGACTGGGGGTATTGTTTTGGGACTTCCCACACCCCAGACACTTTCCCCCCACGTCTCCCACCCACACACTCTCTCCCACACCACACTACCCTCCCCA